AGATCTTATCATTTTCTTTTGCTCTCTTTCATCACAAAGAGACACTCAAGTGATCTCAGATAAAACAGGACGCCAAAGATCACCTGTCAGCTTCTGCTGCTGCTGCTTCAGCTGTCATGAAACGGGGAGGGAGGGTTTGGTATTTGGGAGGGGTTATTCGATGTGCTGGAGGAATGTTCTAGTATTTACTGGATGGTTGGACTACGCATGCGTGGGTGCTTCCCGCCTGGACCAACGGCCCCGACATTCCATCTTCGTGATGCCTTTTGAAGTTATCTCACACCTGACACTTGAAGGACTTATGATTGGCCTGAGGCTATGATCCCAAGGGGTGGGGAATGGACTATTCTATATATTAATTGCTTTCGCGCCTAATTAAACAGACTTCGCTTCGCAACTGCTCGCTAACCATTTGTAATTAGTAAAAGTACTTTTGATTTCCAACACATGGAATCTCTTGGTCTTTCTTTCCTAATTATATAATGGAGGGATGCTGACATCACCAGATTATTGGGGAAGAGGTTTGTGAGAGAACAAGAAGTCAGTGAGGTTAAATCAAAGCTCAGGTGTGTGCAGTGATTGTAGTCACTCTGGTCTGGGAAATCCTAAACTTGGAAAGTGGATCCAGCATATTCCAACAACATCAGACGTTCTCTGTCCAGAAGAGTGCATGCTAGGAAAAGCTAAAGTCCTGGGCAGAATCCTCCAATTGTAGGCCTACAGTTGAGGACTCAAGACTGAGGAAAATGCATACCACCAATAAAGATGAGAAGGGAATTATTGTTTTATTTTATTATTTATCCATCCATCCATCCATTTGCCATAGATAAAATGGAAACATTAGTACCATTGTACAACATTAACATTTCAAAAATGAATAACAACTTTATGATACTTTGAACAGGGATCTTAGAAATGCTTGCTAATATTGTAATCTTAGTTGGTGCTTTTGTGATGTAGAGCAGTGGTCTCCAACCTTGGCAACTTTAAGACTTGTGGACTTCAACTCCCAGAGTTCCTCAGCCAGCAAAGCTTTGCTGGCTGAGGAACTCTGGGAGTTGAAGTCCACAAGTCTTAAAGTTGCCAAGGTTGGAGACCACTGATGTAGAGTACGTAAACCTGAAGGCTATTACTTTCCTGTCTGAGTTGTTATGTGGTGTGAATAAGACTGACATGATTTTAGGGCTTCTTAAACTAGAAAAGCAGATAAATATATTTAAAATAACTAATCTTGTTTTTTCTAACCTGGCACCCTCCTAGGCGCCTATGCTTGGCCTGCTTCTCAGCCACTGGAAAATCCCTCCAAAGATTTCTGGAAGTTGTGATGCTGACACATCTGGAGATGCATTCAACTGGAGAAGACTATTATAAAGTGCCTTATATTAATAAACCCTAAATAATATATTGCTATTTAAGCCCACTATAATGTAGAAATTAGAATGTTAGATAAGTATCAAATATCTTATTATTTCATATATAATTTTTACATCTGCTTTTTCAGCTCATGCAATCCCCAAAGTGTTCTCACATATCTAATCAACCTATCCAATTTAAAAAAAACTAATACTCAAACATCAACAGCATCATAAGCCATTCTAAAAAGTACAAATCTAAATCAATCTTTCTGAAAAACAGAAAGGACAAATGAATCATTTCTGTCATGAGATTTTAGAATCTAAGCCAGATTTCTTGAACCTGGTGTCCTCCAGATGTGTGGAAATACTGCCAGAAGTAACAGCCAGGATGCCTGTGGAGGAAACAGTTCGTCATTCAGGCCTGTGATGCCTATTCCCTTCCCCAAGCAACATGTGAATAACCTTCCTCCTTCATCTCCTTTCTCATCTTGACACCAAGAACTTAAGAGAGATGTGGTCGTGAGAAGGACTCACATTTTTAAGCAGTCAGTTTGAATTACCTGAAGCCATGAATTCTTGGATTCATTTTTTCTTCTACTGAGAATTGCACAGCAGACAAAAACCGTATTTCCTGCCCACCTCAGATAGAGGCACAGTTCAGATTTTCATCCTAACCTTAATAACATTTGACCTTCCAAAAGGGGCCCTGGGATAGGATCAGTTATGTTCCCTTTTCCTCATACTGTATATAGTTTACTTTTTTAAAATAAAGAAAGCAAAGCATGGTATCCAGTCCAGCTTGGCTTGGTAGCAGACAAAGAATTAAAACCCCTTGCCTTTCATTAGGATTCTGAGCCAGATGGAGAAATAATCTTCGTGTTGTGTGCAGTGTTTCAATCCTAGTAATTAAAAGCATCCACTCAGATATTATTTGCTCCAGGAGAAAAACTGCCACCGATGCTAATGTTAGCTGTTATCCTGGAATAAACAGGAATCTGGAAGAGGGAGCAGTATTGAGGCCACAATGTGAAAAGAATAATTTAAACAAATATTTTTTGGTGTCATGATCTCTGTTTTTGTATTTCTCTTTCTTGCTACTTCTTTTAAAGAAATAAACCATGGGAACTATAGTCACACATTTCATTTACTTTGGCTCTCAGCCATCTGTATTCACTTGGAAAGGGGAAAGTTAGAAGAGCGGGATACTGGGAATTCTGGATGGCAGTGAAATTAAGGAGGCATCTACACAGAACAATTGATTCATTATTAACATATCAGTCTGGTGTACATTCACGTTCTATTCACCTGTAATTCTATCATTCTGAGGGTGTTCTAACCGAGGCTGACGAAAAAAATAATATATTGTGACATTTTCGTCGTTTGCTAATGATTAGTTTATACATTGGATATAGCCATAAAGTGGGGAACCGTTGTTTATTAAATAATGCACAACTGATTGTATTTTTGCAATGTAGCAAATTATAAATCAAGGGTTACAGAGACAAAGTCTGCATTTCTACATATTGAACCATATTTATAGATCTGTAAATATGGTTGCTGTCTAGGCTAGAAAAAACAAAATTCTGACTACAATTTTTTTTACTTGACATCTCTCTTTCTCTCCCCCCCCCTCATAACTTCAGTATGTACACTGCCACTGAGGCATATACTTTTTACATTATTTTGTGAGGTGCCTTGAGGACACTTGGTATAAAATTAAAAGAGTAGCATGTGAAATGGGCAAGAAATTAAGCCAAGGGCACTGTATTTCTAGGAGGCTAGTTGCGTGCAAAGAAAGAGGAAGTGAGATGCAGCTATGCCGATTCATGCACCAGAATACTGCTTCCTAACAGGCTTAAATTGGCTACATCCTCTTTCTCCCACTCCACTGTTATACACTGTACTATTAACACATAATTTAATCTTTACATTTTCTCTCTTATCATATGTAGAAAATTATTATCTTCAGGTTATGTCTCTTTTATTCATTTATGAAATCCTTGTGCTATCATAAGCCACATGGGTTGGCCAGAAGACAAAGTGAAGAAAACATGAACTTTCCACCACATGGTGCAAAACTTTATAGGAAACAACTTGGAACCTAATTCTATGGAAGATAAGGATATGAATGGCTACCAATCAGTTAAAGCAATGACCTAGGACTAGGGAGATGTAGGTTCAAGTTATTTAACCGTAACTAGTAATTTTGGAGCCAATTACTATCCAGGCTGCTTTGCAAGAATCTGTTATCAAGGATCAAAATCAAAAGAGACCACCATTAAAAATGTCTTGATCTTAGAAGGAAGGGCAGGACACATGCCTAAGAAATAAATAAGCAATAGTGATTTACATTTCTTCTATCCTATGTGTGGACTTCCTGTACAGCAGCTGTTGGCTTCTGTGCATGGAATGGAGAAGGCCATTGTCCTTTCAATTGCCTCAGGCTTTAAATGTTTGTGACAGCCAGTTTCAAATCTAAAACTAAAACTGCTGGCAAAAGTAAGGGCAGAGGACATGGAGAAAATTCCTTTCATCTCCAACACACCTGCTAGAAGATTTTTTAAAAAAAAACCCAATTCACCGTTCCACCATCGTTGATTGGCAAGCAAGAAACAACCCAACACACAGTTTTGGAACTTTCCACAACTCTTAAGACTGCTTTCCAAGAACTGATCTGGAAGACGTGAAAGTTGATGTTTGGCACTTCAGTCCAGAAAAAAAATAGCGGAACGTGAAGATGATGATCCGGGGCAGTATTGAAAACGAGTCGCCTCTCCAGACCCGCAAACACAATACCAACCAACTCACCGCTGTAGTGCCTGGAAAGAACGGCCACATTTCCCCCCACTGAGAGTCACGCGCGGGTTAGGAAGAGGCAGCGGCAACTTTGAACGCCCTTGCCTTCGTCCACTCTCGACACCCTACCCCTCCCACGCCACCCCTCCTTCGCCCCCTTTCTCGCTATTCTCTTACGGAGCGCAGCCAGAGACGGCGGGAAAAGCGACAGCGTGTTGCGGCTCGTCTAGTTTCAGCAAGGCGCAAAAAGCTGATTAATGCGCCCTGCCTAGACAGGAGGACAGATCCGCAGGAGCAGAAGATGCCCCAAGGACACTCCACGCCCCTTCCCGAGAGCCGCAGCCTTTCAACGCCGCCCCACCTACGGGACCTTCCTCCGTGGGAAGCCAGACGGCAGGCAGACCCTTTCCACGCCCCTCGGGACAAGGCTTCCCTCTGAACTCCCTAACCCGCCGCTCAGTCTCGGACAGGAGGGGCGGGGCGGAGGGGAGACACCGCTCGAAGGGCTCCCCGGGAACTCGGCGGGGGTCGTCAGCTCCTTGAGAGCGGCGGGGCCAACTCCTCTCCGAGAAGGGCGTCCCGCGGCTCTGCCCCCTGGCGAGTCCCGCTCCGGAGGTAACGAGGTGGCTGCTATTCCGGCCGCCCATTGGTTGCTGAGCGCCTGACGCGCGGGCCGCGGGGCGGTGTCCTGGACGCCGGAGCCCGCCGGAGAAGCGCTCGCAAACATGCTGCAGCCTCGAAGCAAGTCGGTCGCCGTTCCGACGGCGCTAGCGGGGAGAGGGACCCACTTCGCCTTCATGCCTCCAGCCTGGATGCCCTAAGCTGGCCCCTTTGCCTCGCTGCACAGCCATGGGAGAAGGATGGCCCTTCTTAGAGGATCGCCCTCCCAACCGAACGAACTTGACGGCTCAGGCTGGCCTGAGACCCCTCAACTTCTCCGCTGACTTGGATCCTGGCAGCTTGAAAACGGAGGAGTTGTCCCAGCAGTGGGTGGTGGGCATGAGCCTCCTGATGTCTTTGATGGTGACCTTCATTGTGGTGGGTAACGGTCTGGTGATAGCGGCCATTGGGAGGACACAACGGCTGCAAACCCTCACCAACGTCTTCATCACCTCCCTGGCTTGTGCTGACTTGGTGATGGGATCCGTGGTGGTGTCCTTTGGTGCCACCCTAGTAGTGCGAGGCTCTTGGCTCTGGGGCTCCTTCCTATGTGAATGCTGGATTTCGGTGGACGTCTTGTGTGTGACAGCAAGCATAGAGACCTTGTGCGTCATTGCAATTGACCGTTATTTGGCCATTACTTCGCCCTTCCGCTACCAGAGCCTCATGACCAAGAGACGTGCCAAGATCACCGTCTGTGTTGTCTGGGCCATTTCTGCCTTGGTGTCCTTTTTGCCCATCATGATGCATTGGTGGAGAGATAAAGAACCTGAGGCTCGGCATTGCTACGACACCCCCAGCTGCTGTGACTTTGTCACCAACAGGGCATATGCTATTGCATCCTCTGTCATCTCTTTCTACATCCCTCTTTTTGTTATGATTTTTGTCTATATTAGAGTCTACAGAGAAGCCAAGGAGCAGATGAAGAAGATTGATAGGTGTGAGGGCAGGTTCTACAATAGTCACCAGCAGCACCAGCCTCCAGTCCACCAGCACCTGCCTATCTTGGGTAATGGTCAAACTAATAGAAGAAAAACATCCCGGATTCTAGCTGTAAGGGAACAAAAAGCTCTTAAAACTTTGGGCATCATCATGGGAGTTTTTACTCTTTGTTGGCTACCGTTTTTCCTGGTCAATATAGTCAAAGTCTTTAATAGAGGTCTTGTACCAGACCAGCTCTTTGTATTCTTCAACTGGTTGGGCTACGCCAACTCTGCCTTCAATCCCATCATTTACTGCAGGAGTCCTGATTTTCGTAAGGCCTTCAAAAGGATGTTGTGCTGTCCTAGAAAAGCAGACCGGAGGTTGCATGCCAGCACTGGAGAGTTCTCTCATTACCCTGGAGGTTTCATCAGTACCCTGGGAACTACAGCTCCATGCACTCTTGGAGGGACGTGGTCTGATTACAATGGTGGTATGCAGGATGGAAGTGACTCCAGCTTGGAGGAAGGGAACACTAAAATCTCCTATTCAGAGTCCAAGGTATAAAGGGCATGTGGTGAGTGGGATGAAAGAAAAGGGAGGGTATGTTGCATACTCTGAAGCAAGAAAGGGATATAAAACAATAGATAGGACGTGGAGGTGGGACCCTTCAAGCAACACATCGTGAGACTGGCTAATACTCAAAACTCCAGACTGACTTTTCTCAGTTGAAAGAAGATATTATTTATCTGAAGTACAAAGTAGGTGAATTTGTATACAGCATACCTCTTATCCAAATGGAAGGAAACAGAAGAGTGACTGACCACTGGGTGGGGAAAAAAGGAAACTATTCATTTTCCAAGTCATTTGGATTATTATGTTTGGATTGTATGCTGCAAAGGTGGCGGTGGGGAGGTTAGGTAAGTAGGGAGTGGTGTCCCAGGAAAGGAACAAAAGCAAGTTGCAAGGAATTTGTAAAAGAAATGTTTCAGGAAAAGTTGAATTTGTAGCAAGCGTTCAGCCAAACATTAATGGAAAAGCAAGGCAGGGCTCTCCTGATACTGAAGGAAATAGGAAGAAGCCCTTGGCTGACAGTTTAATTTTAGAGCTAGAGATAACGCCCTTAGTTGTTTTTACTATTATTGGGTGTGTCAGTAGCACAAGTAGCCTTTTTTTTTGTTTGCTTTTAATTTATTCAATCCTTGAAAGGAAAAGAAGAAGTGCTGGCCACCTGTTTACCTTTCCTGAGATATGTGTGAATTTCAGGCAGGAAACAACTTTAGAAACCATGCTTAAAGTCTCTTTTTGGAATAAGCCATTGAAACATTTTCTAAGGAGTTTTGTTACATAGTCTGATTATCCAATGCATGTTTAGTCGGAAGCAAGTTTGATGAAACTTGTTCCCGTATACAGTTAAGTGCTCATTAGCTTGTAGCCTTGAAAACCTACATGCTCCTTAATATCCAAGAAGATCCATCAGAAATACTGCAAATGGAGAGTATTTTGTTTTGATCCAATTTCTCTTGGGTCTGGTCCTTTCTCCCGGTGATGTCAGGGGTGAGAGACCATCACTTTTCTTATCATATGAGACATCAGCAGTAAGGCTATAAAACATCTACCTCAAGCTGTGCATATTGTACAGGGAAAATGTGTTTATATTAAACAGCTTAATTATGTATTGCTAGTTAAGGGTTTTTAAAAAAAATAAAAATAGAGTCAGGAGTATCTCAATAGACAAATTGTTCACATTGAAAAATGGAAGATAAAATTTGGCTACAAGCACCAGAAATATGACTGCACATTTGAAAAGAATGAGAGATCCCCCCCTCTTTTTTTGCACAGTATTAACAAAGTTCTCTCTGTAAGTCTCTCTTTCTCTCTCTCACACACACACACGCAAACACACACATTCTTATAAACAAACCCACTGGAAAACAAAGTAGATTCCAATTTAACGTCTACTGCTGTCTGATGATTATTTTTTTAAACAATATTATGTGATTTAATGGAGGTACTGTAAGTATGTTCATACCCAAGAGTTTCTATTAGTAACTTCTCTAACTCCCAGAAAATCATGTGAACCTTTTGTGAATTTAGTGCTTCATAGTCTTTCTCCATTTTTACTTCTGTGCATTTGTGTGTCTGTGTGTCTGTGTATGCGAGGGACTGTATGCACATGCATTTTATATTGTATTTATATTCTTTGGGTGCCGTTTACTACTGTATGTCATTGGTCTATGTGCAATAAAAAACACTGCAGCACAAGCAAGTGTATTTACAATGTGTCTTTAAAAGTGCAGGAATTATATCCATTTTTTTATTTAAAATGGTTACTGTTTTTCTGGAAATATAGATCATGTTACCAATACAGTTGAACTTAATGGCTTTTCCTGACATAATTGTCTTTTTAAAAAATATGCTTGCTGTACCAAATAAGGCAGCATTCCTGTTACACTGAAGACTGTTGACTTCTCCTGAAATTCCAGGGCTAAAAGCAAATCATTTCCAGCTTGCCTATAATTACATTAGCTACTTTTTTTATAGGTTCCTTTTATCAATTTAATTTAGTCTGATAAGAATAAAAACTGAATAAGACGACTGGAGATTGTGCATAAACAGTGTGGATTTCATTTGAGAACTATTAGGAAGGAGAGATTAACTGTGCTTTGAGATCCACAAGCCATACATTGTTTGCGTACAATAAATCATACAGATATCTAGTGATACACTTGAGCTACATGATAATCCATAATAAGATTTTAAATCAGTCCAGAATAAGGACTTTTCTAACTGCTTTACTGCAGTGCCTCTTTTGAAAAGTTGCAATACAATAGAACATAAATCACAGTTAAAATAGGAAGCAAATCAGTTGAGAAAGACAAACTAATTATTGTGAAGTTTCTTAATTTATTTTTAATTTTTAAATAGAAGCTGGTGATAGTTTCAGAGTGTTATTTAACCTTAGATCTCATGATACTAAGAAACTCTCCCCTCAAAAATGAATCCATTGCCATCAGAATTTCAAGTTCATTAGAGAGTGAACGTCAGCTTTACTAGCAATGTGGTCACCATGTTTAATGAACATTTTGAATAGACTAGTTTGAGTATCTTGCAATTTCAGATACTTATTCATTGATACTGTTCCTGACAGGACTTCTCCACCTTCTTTAACAGTAAAGCAGCAGAAATTCAAATGAAATTGTATGCTATTAGAAAGCATTGCCACCTAAATGGTCTCATGGCTATTAACTATCTAGAGAAAATATTTCCAGAGAAAAGAAATAGAAGCTGGCCTATCATCAGCTGATTGTTGCCTTGAATTCATGATCTGGAGTAATCTGTTGAGTTCTAGACAATGTTGAATACGTTTCAGTAAAACTATACAGCACACCAGTCAGGATAAAAGAATTGCTTGTGCTTTTAAACTATGATTGGTTTGACTTTGAAAGACGGGTTAAAAAAAACATTGGATCAATAGTGCAGTTTATTTTAAAAAGCAGAATGCTGCCTACTGCATTAGCCTTCCCCAGGCTGCTACTCCCTAATAGCATTGGGATAAGAATTCCCAATCAGAAGAGCTAATAAGAATTCTGCCTGAAAAGTCTAGAATTTGTCATGACAGCATGCTGGAAAATAATTGGTGTGGAGAAGGCTGGTTTAAAAGATGCACACTATGAGTATGATTATTAGAGATGTCCTTGGTGCTGTCCATTTCTTATAATAGATGGCCCTTGGTTCCATTTTTTTTTTGTTGGTTCCATTTTAGTCTTGATTTTCCTCTGGATAGCCTTAAGTATTCTTAAGTCTTCCATTATATTAGGAACATATTATGCTATGTATAAGTTGTGTTGGAGCTCTGAGCTTTGTATAATGCTTCTTGGCATGGGTTTATATGCTGCTTTCAGTTTCATTCAATGTTGAAATTAAAATATGGGGAGGAGGGAGGGAAGGAAACTGATAGAACTGAAGTGATTTTTATTGATAATAATGGGCCATGAAAGAAAAAGGGAAGATTATTGTCAACATATTCAAAAATGTCTTTTTTCTGACTGAAGAATGGTATATCAGCTCCATGTACTAACTATATCAGGGTTTGAGGGAAGCAGTCTACAGGGTATGGTGTTCATCAGTTGCCTTGGACTATTTTAAATGTACTAAATAATCTGGGCCGTACTCAGCAGTGGCTGAGTACCACAGTGCCACGGATAGAACTTAACGCATTTCAACGTTTGGCTCTGGAATTTGTCTTCAGTGCCAGGTTGAAGTCGCTTGTGTGGACTACAAAGTTTTGGAATGCTATGATATTCACACAACACTTGCAGGCAAATACACAAAATTGGTCCAGAGAAATAGGTTTTGGTAACTATGGAAACTGCACTGGCAAAATGCCAATGAAGCGTGTTTTTTGCTGATATATAGAATGTGATTAATGATAATAAAAGCTTTCCCAGTTTTTTCATGTACTTTGATAAGAAGCAATGCAAATATGCATACATTTGACACATCTATTGAAACTTACGTCCATAGATTTACCATAGATGACGTGGCCAAAAAGAAAGTCTTTGTTCACTGAGGAACCTTCCATCTTTTTCAAGTATTGGCTGAACTATACAGTTCAACGTTTGAAAGCCAAATAATTAGTATTGACAGAATTGTTGTGAGGGGTAAAACTCCATGAAATCAAAAGTATTCATTTTATATTGCTGGCAGGACATTTTAGTTGCGTTGAAGCTTGAGTTTGGAGCTGTTGATGCATAGGGCCCTTCTACATGGTGTGGTTTGGAGACCAATTTTTCTACCCAACTGAGTCATTCATCTTAAATTGCGGCAGGCTTTCAGAACTGAGAGGAGTATTTTGGGATGAAACCAGATGTAGGAAACCAAAAGACCACTGTGCATGAGTGAAAGAATTTCTCCCTTCATTTAGACTTGGATGGTGGTAATGTCATTTCCATTGCAGAAAGCTCTGAAAAGATTATAATATAGGTAAGGAAATATTGTTTACCCATAATATTTCTGTATCTGTAGAAAAATTAATTTATAATCAGATATCATCCATACCAAAATAAAGCTTTTTCCACAGTTATTTTGGGTTCTCTGCTTGTTTACATGTGATGCATTTTTGCACTGTATTAACACCATTTTTAACAGCAAATTCAGCTGTCCAGGAAGGGAGTATGACACAAATCTGCGACACAATCACAGATCGCAATGAAGAAATGCACTTTGTTGGAAGGCGCATCAGAAATTTATTGCTTTCTGAATAGAAACAGGGGAAGTTGCTTATCCCAGGGGTGTATCTACCGACTCTCCATTGTTTTAGACCTAATGATGTCTGGAGTTCAATAAGGATTTTTCAACCAAGCTATCGTCCTGTCCTTGTGTGTATTTTGTGGTTAGGCTTTTCCCTATGTGAAAGTTTTTCACATACAGGTGATATGGAAATATTTCCAGATATGTAATATCACTTAGACATATATACCACTTCACATTGTTTTTACAGCCCTCTCTAAGCAGTTTACAGAGTCAGCATATTGCCCCCAACAATCTGGGTCCATGTT